AGAGTGTTTTGGTTTTTTTTTTTAACATGTAACTGTGTATTATAAGGATCAGAAAATAGATACTTTTCTCTAGGGAGGTTGTGTTTTATGTTTTGTATTGGTATTCAATGTAAAGTGATAGCACTAGTCTTTAAAACTGATTAAAAGTGAGTTTTAATGCCAGTCCCACTAGTAGGTAGGTAGATTGGATTAGAAAAGCAAAAATTTTACAAATCTACTAAAAACGCATTAAAGGAAGGTATGGTGAAAGTTGGTTAGAGTGTCAGCTTTTTTTGTTGTTTTGTTTTTTTAAAGCGCTTTCCTCTCTCTTACCAGAAGTGTTTTGCTTTACTTTCTTCTGCTGTTGTAAAAGGAGATTCCTTTCAAGTAGGAAATAAGGTCAGATGAAAAGGGCTGGGACGTTGCTGTACCTAATTCTGCCTGGCCCTTGAAGAGGTATTTCGGGTCCTGAGGTTGGCGCTGGGGTTTGCTGTTTGGTGCCGTTGAAGAGCTAGGTCGGTAGGGCAGTGGAGCGGGTGCATTCGTACCTGTCTCCTCGCCTCCTGTGCCTGAGCACCGAACCCCGAGAGCTGAGCTCTGAGATCTGGAAAAGGAGGCGTTTGCATTGGCCATTTCCAAAGATTGCTTCCCCCCCTCCCCAAATATAGGTGTCTTTGGAAACCAAACTGAATTAAATAGCAGACGAGGCGAGCTGAGTGTGGTGGTTTTCACCGGGTAACCTTGCGGTTGAGCACTTGCTAAGGAAGTGAGAGCGAAGTTGTGTTGTGTTTTGGGGCAGTGCTGATGCTGGCAGCGAGCCGTTGGGAAGTGACTGGGACTTTCTGAAGGTGTAGCTGCCTAAATCTGTCCAATTCTCAAATGGAGAGGCCAAAGTTAATTATTTTGACCAGTGTAGCCAACCTGGTGAACAAAAAGGAAAGCACCTGCAAAGTTGAAGCGCTTTGAGTTGAAGGGCCCGCTGAGGAAGGAATCCTTTTCATTGTAATTTTGATCTCCAGGACCTAAAACTTTGAAGTCCAGTCTTAGGAGCACACACCCTTCTTTGTATCTGACCCGATGTAATTGAAAGCGCTCTTTTGTCCTTCGGAAAGTCACGGCAGTACTGTGATGATGGTGTAGTGAACACCCTTCATAGATGAGTATTTCCTCTTTTAACCTGGGTTGGGATCTGTGCTCGCTTTAACTTTAAAGCAAGGCCGTTATTGCAGTGGTTCAAGCTGTTAAGAAGGAACATCAGCTGTTGCAAGGAACATCAAGATTTGTTATGAAGAAACTTGCAGCAGTTGTGTGTAAACTTTTTACTTTGAAAAGACCTGTTTTTCTTGAAAGGGAAGAGAGTATTTAATGACGCTCAGCCATAGATCTGCTTATAAAATAGAATCGTATCAATGTGTATTTGTTGCTTGTAAAGCAGACTTTTTTTCTGAGATTTTTTTCCCCATGCTTTCGGTGTATTAACTTAGGCAAGCGCTGTCTATATCAGAACATTTTTGAGGTCTCATCCTACAGGGTCAGTAGCCAGAGTACTTCCAAGTAATTTTGGTAATGTTAGTTTTTACACGTGAGATTTATTTTCATTCAGTGGAGCATCAGTTTCAAAATAAATCTCACTTCTGTAAGTTATGTTCAGCATTTGGGAGTCACTTCTCCAGTCTCCAGTGCTATTGCCAGCTACTGCTATACGAGATTTGAAATACATTGCTGTTAACTTCCAGAGGACCAGGATTTCCCCAGGGATGTTTGAGTGCTACTCTGTTGAACGGAATTCAGTGCAATTGAAAGGTTTCTAACTAAGTGTTCATAAAACCGGTATGTCTGATTCTCCTACAATGACCAGTATGGAGACAGACTTTCTCAGCTGTTGCACATCTCTTCAAAATTGGTTGGGATCACCCAAAAGCATCAGTCTCCTTGGGTGAACTGGAGCCTGGTGTACTATTTTCCTGTTACGGGTTTTATTTGAGTATGAATAATTGAAGCTGGCTGGAAAAAAGATATTCATACTTAATATGGTAGCAATTATTTGAGGCAGTTACAGGTTTGATAACTGGTAGTATCCTGTACCCTAGGAGCGTGTAAGAACAGCAGTAGATAAATATGTTGCCTCCTGTACCTTGGTTACTAAAATCTTAATGCACCAGTGAATTAACTAGCAGAACTCCCAATTTCTTCAAGAGAGTTTTGTCTCATTAACAAAAATGAATCTCCCAGGAAAAGCCTTATTAATTTCAGATGCTAGTGCCTGCTTATGAAAATCCCCTTGCCAGATCTGACCTCATCCTCCTGAGTCAGAAAACAGTCACGTACCAGCAGATAGGTTGGTGGTTGCTTTTAAATCTGCGACAATATCACTGTTGCCCGTCTCTTGGTCGAGAGTAATCCTGATGTATTGTAAAGAGGAAAATACATCTTTCCTAAGAGCTGAGTGTTTTGAATGAGTTTCTTATGAATTACTAAAGGTGTCATCGCCTACTTTGAACAAATTACTGAAGGTGTCATCGCCTACTTTTAAATTTTGATGTTTATACCTCTCTTTCCTTGAAATGGAAGTTTTTATCATCAACAGCCTACTATTGTTGCTTGGTAAACAAAGCAAAGCCTTAAACAGAATAAACATTCTGCAGACAAAAAAACCCTCAAGAGTGTCTAAAGAAGAAATTAAAAATAACTAGTTGACGAAATCAGAATGGCACGTTTCCAGAAGAAGGCTCCTCAGATGTTGGATTTGAAAAACTAGGAATTTTCTGTTTTGAAATGGGGGAAATACCAGAACAAAAATAAAATCTTTGCAAACAAGAAGTACTGTTAACAGCAATAGTTTAGGTACTGTTCTCTCTCTTCTGAAATATTTTTACACCCGAGAAGTTTATTGCACAACATACTTCCCATGTCTGCAGAAAGGTAATAGTGCACTACTGTCACGGTCCCAGGCTCCGTGCTTACAGATTTTGGCAATGAAGCCATAGGAATAGGAGACTATCTTACGGTACCCTACTATTGCCTTGCTACAGGGACATGTGCAGGGCTGTAATTAAAACTGGTTTGCTCTTTATAAGTTAAAGAACAAATTACTTGTTGTCTTCTACTTCCCTTGTTTATTTACTTTAATTAGGCATAGGTAGTAAAGTAAAATAGAACAGAAAGCAACATCATATATTTATATTGGATCAGTACACTGGAGTGGGCAATTAGTGCTTTTATATTTAGGAAGTTTGAAAATAAGAATAAATCAGGTGAGACTGTATCAGTGAGTAGATCTTGGTAGGTGAGGTGCTGCCATTGAGAAGTGGGGGTTATTAATTGAAGTAAAAAATTCTTCTTGACATTCAAAACCAGGCAAAAGCAAAATTAAAATCTCACTCATCTGAAACTAGAAAGATGGGTTCTGGGGGAGAGGGAGAAAGAGTCATATCCAGGGCAATACGCTCTCTAGCAAGAGTAATCTCTAGTAAGTACCATGTGTCCACGGGTACTGTCATGATCTTTTGGTTTTAACTCTCTTGCTGGTGGTGTGGGTGGAGGTTCTGTATGATCAGCAGTTTTATGTTTTCTTTCATCCTTTGAAGATTTTCCAAAACTCTCGATACTGATAGCTTAAGGAAGTATGTTTGCATATGTGCTGTATAGACTTGAGTTTCACTGTGACTATTTAAAAGGTTATTGTGATGGAAAGTCTTTTTGTTGTTCTATCTTCTATCCTAGCTAATTTTTGTGTGTTGTTTCTTTTTTTTTCGTGATGCCAAGTTTCATAATAGGGTGAGGTGTACAATGTTATTCGTTTTTATAACTGGCTTGTAATTCTTAAGTATAAGCCAACACCAGTTAGTTACTGTTTGAGTGTTTCACTTGACTGAGAGCCTTTGACAAATGAGGTGGTTTTTTTAGGCTGAACAAGACAACGGCCATCCTCTTCCTGCCTTTGCCAGTCTCCATATTGAAGTCCTTGATGAGAACAATCAGAAGCCTTACTTCACAAGATCTACGTATGAGGGCTTCATCCTTGAATCCTCCCCAGTGGGAACGACCATCTCTGATAACCAGAATCTGACTTCTCCACTCCAAATCGTAGTGTTGGACAACGATGTGGAGGAGGTATGTTTCATTCTTTTATAGTGTCATACTGGTGTTTACATTTTTATTACTTTCACAGTTTTTTTTTTTTTTAATTGAGACAAAATTAGTTTGATCAATAAATTAAAAAAAAAATCTTAATACCATTGATGCAATTTCTTTTTTGTTTTTGTTCTGAGTTCAAATAGATTTGAAAGCTTGTCTGAACCGAAAAACTAATCTGTATTTTACTCCCTTCTCCTTAAGATTATGTTGTGTTAGAGATGACGAATGCTTAGTGTGAAGAGGAAAAAAAAAAGGGGGCATTTTTCTGAGGAGGATGAATCTGCCACACAGTGTGGGGAAAGGGGAGAGAGATGCTCAAAGTGGAAGGAAATAGTAGTTTGAACAAACCAGGAAGAGGGAGGAATAGGAGGACAGTTCAATCCATTCTTTCTTGTGCCCGGATTTTGATACTAACATTACTCCTAGTAAAAATTGGGCATCTTCAAAAGAGTAGTAACCAAGTAGTAACAATACTTTGCCTCTAGGGCTAATGTTTCTTCTGTTCCCACCAAGGCTGTTACTATTACGTGGTTTTTGATATAACATTTTTTCCCCTCTAATTACTGTTGTCTCTCCAGTTGCCCCCTTTGTTCATTTTTGTTTCTGTTCTTCTGTTCTCTTGTTCTCTTCAGATACAGGAGGAAAGCAAAGCTGTAGGCATAGATTTTATAGTAATATTTATAGTATATGCTAATGCTCTTTAATAAAGTTCTCAACTAATAGTCTGAAAACAATCTTCTGATTTTGAAAGTTTCACTTTTGCCATAGGCAAATTCATTATTTTTGAGAAACACGAGGGGCCATTGTTGCCAAAAGATGCTTTCTACATCACTGCATTAGAGGGATTCATTATTTTAAAGAGAAATTATTTTAAAGCCCGAACTCATGTAGAATATCTCCTTCCCGTCCTCTAAAATACCTCAGTCAATTTACGGGCATTCATAAAAATCAGTTGGAAGGCAGGCGGGAAATGGCTGGTGGATGTGCCTTTCTTGGGGCTGGATGAAAGGTATGGCATAAGTGCACGTCGTCAGTAGGCATTGCTGAGGATTTGTATTAGTTGTGAAATACTCTTGTTCAGCATTCCTTTTGTTAAAAGCAAAGCAGTTTTCTTGTTTGATCGAATTAATGGGATCTTGTAGGTTGCTTAATATAGGAATAAGAAAGCTGTGCAGGCATCAGCTGTGTGTTTATATTTACAATGACTGTGTTGTATAAAATCTGTATGTATATTAAAAAAATACAGGGGTTTTTTTAGATTTTTTAGCTTAAGCAAATTGATGTCAATTTTGTTTCATCCATCTGTTCATGAAAGTAGTAGTAAAACCCTTTGGTTCAAATGTACCTTGGTGCAGATCTGCTTGTTGCAGGAATCTGGAATTTTAGGGCACTATTTATGCCCAGCTTATAACAGGCATGACTGCATATTAACTTTACAAAAATGGAAAGAGAGACTACTAATCACCTGAAGAGTGGAAGACTGAAGCTGAGTAACTCTGAGAGACTGGTAAACTTGCACACTGGAGAGGTACGATCTGAAATTCAGGGTAGGGTTTTTGGCAAGCTCGAGAGCTTGCTGTGAAACATTTCTGCCTGGGTTGCTGCACTGCCATTTTGGGCGACGGACAGCGAAAATAGTACAAAAATCTCACCGTTAATCCACAATGTGCTGCTGATGTTTCACTATCTGCAAGTCCACCGACGTTCCAGGGACTGAGATATTTGCCCTCAACGCTTTGTAGCTGCAGTGACCTAGGAAAATCCGACTGTGCATACAAAGCCCGGAGTGGTAAAAGAAGTCACGCAGCGTGGCTGGTGAGGGAGGAGCTGAATCCATTGTGCTTGAAAGAATTCAAATCAACTGCTTTAATTAAAGAGAATTCAGTGTCCTAGTTCAGACAATTAAATTTATGTAGTAGTTTTCCATACTGGTGTTTTTTTGGGACTCTCTCTTATTTCCTAGTAGGTTATATTGTTACACTAAAGGAATGATAGAAAGACTTGGGACTTCATTAACCTCCAGAGGTTTTTCAGGTTGTAGCTAATAGTGCTCTGATTAACCTTTCCCTGGCAGTTGCACAGCTCCACCCACAAGATGTCAAAGGCAGATTTGATAATACAAGGTTCTTTGATGTAACTACATATTAGATCATACACGAGACTGAAAATTAAGATTGCTTTGAACTGTTAAATTCTGAATTTGGGCTCTTTGAATGAATCGGGTACCTACCAGGTAGTTAGTGTAGCACATAATATTTGTGTATTCTCAAACGGCAAATATTTAATTTCGAAAGCTTCTGTATGGAAGAGTAATTTCTTCCTTTAATATAAACTACTTCATGAGGTGTGTAATGTAATCCTGGTGTGTATGTTCCCCACCGAAAGCGCTTTCTGTTACTAATTTTGTCAGTGCGAGTTCAATACTTCAAGTTCTGAGGTGTGCTCTGAAATTCATCGCAAGCAGTTTGACCGTAGGGCTCCACGTTTTATTGTTGTGCCTTCTCTGTAGTACCTCAGCACGTTCCCATGAAGTTATCTCAACATTTGGATATTGAATAGGGCAGTTCATTAATATGTTTGTGTTTGCCTGCACTAGAAATGTCAGCATAGGTGTGGCCCAAATATTTGTGGTTTTAATTGCATCGCCAGTAATAAAAAAAACCTGTCCAATCTGCAGCAGATATTTCGATTGGGAGCACTAACGTGACTTAAATAATCTGCATCCAAAGATGATGAAAACCAAGCTTACCATTCTTGAACATGAGCTGCTTTAGGCACCTGATAAGAAGTTGTTACACATTTCTGTGTCTCGGTACCAAAAGACCTGAAATGTCATATCCACAGCAAATGACCGTTCAAGGGCCCGGAAGTATTTCCTGGTGAACTTAACGCATGCTTGTTTTACATCAGGTTGTTATTGTCATTGGATAATGAATAACAGGAGTTTGGTTAAGTTAGTGAAAGCCTAGTTCGGTCACATGACACAAAATGAGACAGAGCCCAAAGTTTTCCAGTGAATTATTTTTGTTTATTATTGAAAAAGTGTTATATTTCAGTGTTGCATGGTGAATAACTGCCAGGGATTTCTAGACTGGGAAATGAAGTGGCACGGAGACTTAATTTTGACACCCCACCATATCCCCCCCAAAGTGAGGACAAATAATCCAGATCTCTGGCCCTGCTGGAACCTGGCCGGTGGCCCTCTTGTTCTGTCCTCCTCCTGCCTGCTGGGATGGCCCTGTACCTGCAAGGCCACTTCCCTTGGGTATGGGGGGATAAGGGCCAGCAACATGGCCATAAATGCTCAGTTCCAAGCCTGGGAGGTATAGGAGGAAGGAAGGGTTCCTCTGTCTCAGCAACCTGCACTGCTCTGGGAACCTGGTACGGGATTTCGCGACTGTATCAGTCTTTTCTCTTGCATGTTTTGTTTATGCTGTAAGATCTGATCCGTGAGATCTACCGGAGGTGATGCATCATAGAATCATTATGGTTGGAAGAGACCTCAAAGATCAAGTCCAACCGTATACCCATCGCCACCATGCCTGCTAAACCATGTCTCAAAGGACATCCTCTCTCTTTCCAGAATGCTGTAGGCTTTTCTCGGGACAGAGATCTGCCTGCAGCCGCAGAGGGGATGCTCAGCCTTGTCCTCCGGTGGAAGTGCTCGGTGCAATTTCCTGTTCCTTTGGCATCACCTGCCTCATGCCAGCACAGTTCATTCCAGTTGTATGAAATGATGCAGGTGTAACATGGATGTGAGGGGGTAGAGAATCAGATTTAACTGCCTGTGTGTTAATACACGTGTCAGTGATTCATGTAGGCCTTACAACCCGTTGTGGGCATGAGATTTCCGGCAGAGTAAGGCTGGGAGTGCAGCGATTACACATGACTCATACATAAAAATGACCAAACAATCTACAGTGACAGGTACCTTCTCGCTGGGACTTGATGGTAGCTTGGGGTGAGTTAGAAAGCACAGGTAATGCTTATTAATTTCTGCAGGTCTTAATGTTCTGATGGCTTCATGATACCTTAGTAAATTAATGTATTTAGTAAGTAGGGATTCAAGTTGACGTATATCCTCTACGTGCTTGTGCATGTTAGTTTCCAGTAGTGACCCTGGCTAAACATAATGTATTCGGTCTTCTAATTGACAAATCAGTTGAGGTTGTGTTTCATATTAAAATAACTCTCTGTCCTCAGATAAACGCACGAAGAAAGCGGTCATCTTAACTGTAACTCTTAAGAAAAATAAAACAACCAAAGCACATTCTGAATTTAAACCCTGTGGGAATTGTAATAGAGTCCTGCTATAAACCTTCCAAAAATTAATTTATAGATGTGACATTGCAAACAGACCTTTAACTAGAGCAGCACTGCCAAGTGCTGATATAATTAAGTGGTCTGTTTAAATGGCATAAATTAAATTAAGCCACACGAGTACCTTAAGACCTGAGTAAACCAAAGCTGAGATGAGGAATTTAAACAGTATGATCTGGTTGCTGTTTACATAAGGCTTCCCAAGCCACTTGCTTCCTCACTCTGCTTCCATGGGAGAGTACTAATTTCTTCTGCTCTGGTGGTTGGGGTTGGTGAAAAAGCTACACAGTATCCGCCTTACCGCCTTGTATGCCAGATCTTGTTGAATCTCGTAGAAAAAGAGGGAGAAATAAACCCCAGGATTTAACTTCCAAGCTGAAAGCAGCTAATCCGCATTCATATCCATTACGTGGTACTCAACTACCAAGGTGTTTACCAATATCGCATGCGGTGTCTTGACGAATAAAGTCGGGGTGTAAGGTAATTTGTGCATTGCTCATTAGAACACAAAATTAATGTAATGTTTACAAGGTGTGCCAGCATGTGTTCAACGGCATTTAATGTGTCCCAGCACGCATTCAGAAAAGCTCCTGTGCAGTAACCGTGATGCTTCTGCGGTTGCCTACAGCCCAGTGCAGCATCCCTGGGTAGTGGAG